CAGAGGAATGGAAGTCATCAAGTCGAAGGTATACCTGTTCTCCAATGTTCATCGCAGCACTATTTACAGTAGCTAAGAGTTGGAACCAGCCCAAATGTCTATCATCAGATGAGTGGATATGGAAAATGTGGTATATCTACACAACGGAATATGAATCTCCTATAAGAAAGAATGAAATACTGCCATTTGCAACAACATGGATGGACCTAGAGAGAATTATATTAAGTGAAACAAGTCAGGCACAGAAAGAGAAATATCACATGTTCTCACTTATTTGTGGGAGCTAAAAATAAATAAATAAATATACATATAACCTGCGGAGGGGGAGGGAAGAAGACACAACAATTACAATTCCTTGAAGTTGATACGACAAGCAAACAGAAAGGACATTGTTGGGTGGGAGGGGGGGAGAGGGAGGAGGGAGGGAGGTTTCAGTAATTGGCCACAATGATCAACCACATTGTATATTGACAAAATAAAATAAAATTTAAAAAAAACCACAAAAAACAAATATTAGCAGTTAAAGGACACTGAAAAATTAACTGTCAACTTCAGTGAAAAAAATTATCCTCCATAATTTTTCCAAATGAGAATTTCAGGGAAGAAACATCATGAGTAGTCAAATCACGTAAACTAGTGGCTTGGTCAGTTATCCTAAGAGCCATCAGATTTCTATTTCTAAATAATTAACATTTTGGCAAGGATGATATCTCTTTATGGCTCCTCATTTAATCACGACTCAATTCTTCAAAAAATATGTATTAATTACATTGTGGTTCATAAGAGATTTGGGTATTTTCACTTAGGTTATTAATTGAAAGTAAAATATTTATCTGTTTTCCTGTTACACAAAATATTTTTTAATATATTTGCTAAACCAGGCATAATCTATTCCAATATTTGGAGAGCTAATTTAGGCTTCCAGGAACTTTACCGGCAGAATGATGTGTTGAATTTTATAGCACAGACGTTGGACAGATTCTTTATCTAATCTAAGCCTCAGTTTCCTTATCTGTACAATAGGGATCATATCAAGTACTTCAAAAATACTGAATGTGATAATAAAAGTAATTTAAAAAGAAAAAAAGAAGTGTTAGCCAAGAAGGAGGGACATTTAGAACAGGTGATGAAGGAGAGAGATGATGAACATTATTTACAGTTTAGGGACCAGCTGTGACAGTGTGACCATTAGCCCTCTTATACTTTTCCAAGAAATTGTGACCATGCAGATTCCTTGAGAAATCATGTCCTGATGAAATAAACCTAATATAAATAGCTTCATGAAAAAAGCCAGCAGATACAAGTGGTCCCTGGAGTGGCCTAAAGTAGATACAGACTGGCATGCCCATCTCCCATCTCTGTGAATACTGGCTGCTACCAGCTCAGAGCTGCCCTCTTTTCCAGAGAATTAGCCTTAACCAAACAAGAGTCACATCACCCAGGACATTCAGGCCCTCCCCACAGAGGCAGCTGTAGGTACAAATCACCACTCACTCTCAAATGTGAGATCGACTGGGTGGTGATTTCCATTACAGAGTTTTCCAGAGGGACAAAGTAAAGCTGTACTCCAGCTTATACCACATCATTTCTTAGCATCCTCTCTTGCCCTACCCTGCTTCCATCTCTCTCTCCTGAGAGCATTCCTTTAAGAAACCACTTATACAAAATTCCTCATCTAAGACTCTGCTTCTAGGGAACCAACCTAAATCATCCATCTTTCATATGGACTATGTCTTATGAAAGAAGAACAGTTGTTTGTGGTCTTTTAAGAAATTTTACTTACAAGGTTCCATTTCATAAGTACATTTTCATTGCTATGTAATATCTATAATATTCTGAGAGCATTCTTTTTATTTAAAGCAATATATGTTTAACTAAAACATATATAGCATGTTACATAATTTTCTCCAAGCGTATCAGCACTGTAAGTAACACTTAAAAATGATGTTCATTTGTTTCATATTCCTGGGACTTATGTCAAAACTTAGATGTCTAATTTATTGAACTGTTTTCTTCAAAGCAACACTGGGTAAAATTATCACAGAAGGGAGACTTGGTAAGATGAACCAAGATGTACAATTTCTTTGCTTGTCACATTGAGCAGATTCATATAAAAACTAACTTAAATCATTTGTTGCTAACAAAGAAACATTATTAGCTATACTCTACATATTCTTTATAGAACATAATTGAGTAGATTTGTCAAAGACTGTTTCAACTTGCCTGAGATATCCATAAGGCCACCGATGGCGTTGTAACTCATGATCCCTGCATGGGGCTTCTGGGGTGCCATGTTATGTGCAGAGGCAAAGGTGGGCCAACAAATTCCACTTCTCCCGCCTTTTACAAAAAGAAAAAAAGTTAACAGAAATTGAATATGTAATCACTCATAGGAGCACCAACATCAAAGTTCCAAATTTTTCACCTGATGGAGGTCTGGAACTCCGATGGGCAGCAGTAAGTTCAATATTGGGATCATCATTAGTTAGGACATCAGAGCAATTAAATTCAGGGCTACTTCCAACAATTAATGAGCTCTATTTTTCAAAAAAAGTCAAACAATATAGCATTAATAACAGCTCTTCCTAAAAGAAAATATGAATAATACTGAATTCTACTGTTGCAAAACACAAATAATAAATTTGACAAGTGGATCATTCATTAAACAAAGTTGAGAAATGTGTGATTGATTCCTTGACTGGAACGACATTCAAAGCAGGAGGAGAAAGACAGAGATATAGATAATTACATATAAAGGCATGTTATGTTTCAGTGATAGTCCAGAGATCAATAGGAACAAAAAGCAGAGGAAGTATCATTACTTCCTAAGCTGGTTCAGGAAAAGCTTCATAGAGGGAGTGAAAATTTAACTAATGGTTGCAAGATTACTAGGTGATGAGCAAGAGGTTTAGGGGAGGAGAGATAAGGACGAAGAGTTTCCTGGCAGAAGGCAATGAGAGCAAAGGCGTGCAAAGGTGTGCACTAGACTGAGATAGAAGTCAAGGAGATTATTCTCATCAGTCCTTCAATAATTTCACCCTTCTCAGAGTTGCTCTTTCTCCCTAGTGTGGTTGTATTCATTTCTTACCTTCACCTGCACCGTTTTACTGGAAATTTTGTGAGATACAGCATCTGGTTTGTAAATTATTGAAAAAATGGCCATTCCATTGTCCACCAGGGTCACATTATAGATGTGCACACTCTCTGTGGTCTGTAATACAATTTGTAGGTTACATAGTACTAAGGAAATCATAGAGAAAATCGAAATATCGCTATCTTTGATCACATTTACCTGAAAATAAATTCCGTAATCCCAGCATCTCCAAATAGTAAATCCCTGTATAAGGGAACATCCAGGAAGGCCATCTTGGTTCATATAGACACCATATAAACCTCCATGGGCTTCATTGTCAAACCACTTTTCCATGGGATTAGATTGACCTTGGAAGGAAATAAAAAACTAGAGAATTAACACTACAGGTCATGTCACATAGTTTTAATAAGCAGTATCAGTTAAAGTTAACGAAATTATTAATATTTCATATGTATTTTTTATAATTTTATATTTTATTATATAACAAAATTTTATATTATTTTTATATAATTATATATATTTATATATATAATTCCAATGTATTTAGTATTTTCTCTTATCTAATTTGTCTCATCATTATTACTCACAATAGTCATATACCTATTTATTTGCAAGTTTGATTTAGTGTTAGCACCCCTAAATCGTTGTATCTGATTACACTAAACATGAGTTTTATTAGCATGAGCATGGCATTTGGTTTCAAACAACCTAAATTGGAAACATAATGATACAACTTGCTGTCTGTAAAACATTTCCCCTGCACACCTTTTAGTTGTCATTTCCTTCTGGTCATCCAATTTTCAAGTTAAATGTCACTTCCTTAAAAGGCTTTCCCCGAATACCTGATTCAAAATAGCACCTCAGTCACTTTACATTGCAATTACCATTTTTTTCACTCAATATTTTATTATTACTTATTTGTGAATTCATCTTTTCTCTACTATTAGAATGTAAGCTTCATGAGAGAAGACACTGCCTTTAGTTCATTCACCACCGTTTTCCTGGAGCCTAGAAGGTGATGCAGTGATAGGCGCTCTTTAAATATTTTTTAAATTGATATATGCATGATATTAAGAAAGTTATTTCACATTTTAGAACCCAGTTTCCTCATATATAAAAATTTTTTATGCTTCATACAGGATTGTTTCAAAATGGAATGAAATAACCCCAAACATGCATAAATTGGAGGGTTGCCTGTAAAGAGCCACACCACCTCCTACATTGTACTTAGTACGAGCTCTCTTGTCCTGGTTCCTTGATATCTGACTTTCTCCTATTTTCTGATGACTTTCCCTTCTTCCTAGTCCTTTGTGTTTTACATTTTATTTATGATCCGCCTGGTTTTGATTTTGTTCCCACATGAAATGTTTACATTTCTCTCCCTTAACTCACACAATGTAGCCCCACGGGCAAGTCCAGATCCACCCTTGGACCCAGAGTGTGTCCCCTTCCCTGCATCCCAGCATCTTGTCTGGGAAATGAATTGGATACACTGATGCACCACGACAGGAGCTTATGCCCTCCCTTGCTCTGTGATGTTTCATATTTCAATTGCTATAAATCTAAATTCCTCCTTATAAACACTCTCAATTAATTAGGAATATCAACATAATCAGTGAAAAATGTAATACATAGCATTACACATATTAGTAAATATTCTTATTCAAAGGTTATATTTTGAGTTTCAAACCACCATAAGAACAAATTCATAGAACTTGTAGAGAAATTAAAGATTTTAAAATTTTAAGTCAATGAAAAGCCAGTATAAGCTGCTGGGAACTAAGTTATTTATTTAGAGCATATATCAAGGAATCCATTAAATCTGTTGACTAGGTTGTTTTTATTCTTTCAAAATGTATTTCTCACAGTAATAGAATTAGCTTAAATCCAATAATTTTTGAATCAACAGGAAAAATACAGATTTAAAGAGTCTTAAAAATAACTAAACTCATTAACTAGTATATTAAAAACAGATGAATTTTATAGTATGTAAATTATACCTGTTAAAGCTGTTAAAAAAAAACTATACTGAGATAAAAAGAATTAACTCTAGAAGAGACATACATTTTTCAGAGAAAGTCCCGTTTCCCTTAACTTTCTCTAAGTTTCTTAAGATGAAAAGTCTGTAGTTATATTGGTTTTTATTTTCATTGTCTGGTAATAATTCATTTACATGTTTGAAAAAATCAAGGTCATAAAAAATTATACAATAATAAGTCCTCAGTTACCTCATTCCTACTCACTTTCTATGACTTCGTGCTCCACCTATCACTTAAGAATATTCTGGAGATTTCTCTGTATCAGCACATAAAACTCTCCTACCTCCTTTTTTAGAGGGGTCGAGTGTTCCAATGTTTGGCTTTATACAAGGATACCTCAAAAAGTTCATGGAAAAATAGAGTTAAAAAAATAATTCAACTATTTCCATGAACTGTTTTGAAGTACCCTCAAACAACTAGTCTAACATTATTGGATACACAGCGGCTTTAGGTTTTCCACTAGTACAGACCAATGCTGTGATGAATAACCTTGTTCATAAATCATTTGTTTAGTGTGTAAAGGGAACTGTTACCTAGATTATTAGAAGAGGAAATGCTGAGTCGAAAGTAAATGCACATGTGATTTTAGTAGATATTGTCAGATTTCTTTGTGTAGGTGTTATATCATTTTAGCCTTCAACAAGCAATGTGTAAATGTTTCTGTTTTTCTATAGCCTTGCCAAAAGAGATGTCAGTTAGTTCTTGATTTTTATTAACCTGATAGAGAGAAATGTGTCTGTTCATGTCCTTTGACTTTTTCATGCATGCAGGTTTTAACATATGAATAGTGAGCATTTATTCTATTAAAGCAGAAATATAAAATAGTGGCAAATTTCTATAGGCATAAATGTCTATGCTTAGAAGTGCTGTTTCTGTGAAAGTAGTAGTGGGAGGAGGTTACTTACTGTTCCAGTACCAACCAAATCAAGAACTGAAGTTGCTGCTGGAGTTTTTGAATTATAAACTTGGTTATAAAAGGTTTTCTTTAAAAGCATATCCATTTTTCTTTAGACCCAATGTTTTCTTGAAAAATTTACCTTGTTGAGTTCTTTCAGTGCCCAGAAGGAAGAGATATCACATACTGAACTGACAAATAATAACTATTTATTTTTAACAATTTTGGACAAGTTATTTCCTAGTTTAAGTCATTCTCTGTTAGAAGACTTACTTGAGCAAGGTTCACCATCAATGCGGTATCCCACCCTTCCAAATCCAGCAACTACATTATTTTGTAAGACTGTATTGGTCCCTCTATTTATCTAGTACAATGATACAGAAAATACTTCGAGTTAGGTTATTACACAATTACACATTGAGAGCAAATATACAACAACATATCTGTGAAAACCTTTAATTATGACTACACTTTCAGGAGGGAACTTTGATTTGTTATTTGCCCTATTCAAACTTTTATTACAAATGAAGAATTAAAATTGCACTAGGTTTTTGGTGTAAAACGATCACTAGGTACTATACCCTAGGCTTCATTAGAAAGCTGCATTAAAGAGATTGTTTTTATTTCAGTCACAAAATTTACTGTATGTAATTCAAAATTCACAAGCCATAGACCAAATTCTAGTATTAAAGCAAAGTTACAAGGATTTTATCACTCTTTTTGGTTGTATTTGTTACCAATGTGATTGATTTAAGAAAAAGACAACTAAGGCAAGTAGAATGAACCATAAGATTCGACAGACACTAATTTAAATAAAATCTGCTATAATCAAAAACTAGGGTAGCACACATGATAGGTAATTACTAAACAATTTTATTTTATGGGCCAAGTCAAAGTCATAGAAAATGAAAATATAAAACACAGAGGTTTAATTCCTTCCTATGTTGTCATCAAAATAGTCAAAAGTCTCAATCATTTAAAGCCTATTAAACACACTTATTTTTAAAGATTATGATAAAAATAATCAGATGGAATTCATAAACATTCAATAAGTACCTTTTTTCCTCAAAACTATAGATAACTTTAAAGACTGAAATTGACATTTGATTGCACTCTAACATCTACAAATAGATGAAAAGAGAACATTTTACCTTGTAAGTGTATACTAAGTTCTAGCTTTCAGATTTTACCTTAAGGTAATGTAATAATTAATAGTTGCATAAGAACAAACCAAATCCTTATCCCATCTTTCAAAGAGAGCTATTTTTAATTCCTTTTTATCTCTATGGCATAGGTAAATAAAATAAAAACTAAAAGAAGCTGCCTATCTTCTCCAAACCCTTCCTCGGTCTCTTCTATTTTCTTTCTTGTAATTTCACTCTGTTTAAGCAAACACCTATACTAACTGAATACACTTCAAAGGAAACAAGAAGGGTGCAATTAGTAATATTGGATAAGTATTAAAAAAAACATGCAGAAAAAATCATAACAATTTTAAAGGGAAAGGATTTTAGACATTCTGTAGTCTATCATTCTAATCTTCCATATGAGGAAGAAAACTAAATTGAGAGTTAAGTAGTAACATGTGCAAGGCACTCAATTAGCAGCAAAGATACCCTGCACCAGAACTTGAAAGTGATAAATAATCTTTGAGAAGAAAGGAAATAACTATTTAAACCAGTGCACATATCAGCAGAAAGAAAAACCCAAAGGCTATTGAAGCTCACAACATCTTCTCAAAGTACATTCATTCCTTTAGTTAGCTCATTAGTTCATTAGTCTCTATTTAAGAAAGGAATAGCTTTCAATAATATTTTGAGGTTTATAATTTCTACAAAAAATTGTTAAAACATTATAATTTAATTTTTATGATTATAAAATTATAATTTATATTTACAATTTCTGCCGAAATTGTTATGTATGTTAATGTATAAAAACATTATAATCTAATTTTTATAATTATAATTAAATTTTGTATAACTTCAAATTTGTTCTCACTACCTCAATTGCTGCATGCCAGAGAGTTGAACTTAAATCTTTTCTGTTCTGATAGGTTCCTGGCCAAACTGAAAGGGCTACCAAATTTCCTCGGACTCTGTTGGCATCCCCCCATATTCTTATTCCTGTAAAAAAAAAAAAAAGTAAGGAAATCCCCAATAATATGCATGTTAATTTGTAACGAATACTACAGGTAATGCCTTTCATTTTTTCCATAAGATTATTAGTTATAATTAGTTCGAGACTGATAAATGATCCTCCTAGATTTTAGAGTAAGTCCTCTGAACTCTCTGATAGTAAGTTCTACCTCTGTAATAGACTACTTGAATTAGAATCTTCTGCAGTGCTTGTTAGATACATGGATACACAGCCTCCACCTGAGATTTTAACACACACACACACATAGCTTTTATATACATTAAATAAGTCTTTATTATGCTTTAAACTGATATAAAAGAAAGGAAATATATCTAAAGTTGTATATAATTTTATTAAGATAAAAACATTTATTTGCAGACAACTTTTGTGATTGATATGTAAGAAATATTTTAAGTCATAGTAATTTAAATGACTGGTGATTAATAACTCACATTAAATTATGGTTTAGTAATAATTCTTCCATGCTCTAGGGCTGAACTGTCCAATACAATAGCCATAGTCACATGTGGCTATTTAAATGTAAATTAAGTACAATTAAAATTAAATATTCAGTTTCTCAGTTAGAGTAGCCACAATTCAAGTAAGTACTCAATAGCCACATGTAGTTTATTAATTACAGATAGAAACCATTTCCATCCTCACCCAAAGATCAGTTGGCCAGCACCACTCTTGAGTTTAAAGATAAGATTGTCTCAGAAGGACATGTTATTTGGGCCAAAATGTTATTACGTTACCTTCCCCCACTGTAAAGTGAATGATGTTATCATCTATGTCCAAGCCATCTGTCCCAAACACACCAATTGCTGGGGAGAAGCCGTGGTGAAAAGCACAAGCTCGAATATAAGATGAGCCATATTCTTGAATCTATAAAACATTAAGATTCAATAAACATTTAAAAAATGAAGTTAGAAAATATAGAATAAAATTTGAAGTAGCTGATTTTTAGTAAACAAACCTTGCTTAATACTCGATTTACTTTCCCTTAATGGAGGTGATTTCCCAGTAGGTCTTTTAATCCTGGGAAATTGTTATATATATCTTGAATTTATGATTAAATAAAGAAGGAAAACATGTTTACTTTAAATGCAGATTAAAAATTCTCAGGAACTTTTCTAAGCATTTATATTTCTATCATCATCTACATTATACAATGCTAAGGTGCTCAAAATTATTTTTCAGAATGGTTTATTATATAATGAGCAGGGATTTATTGTTTAATTACAAAAAATAATACTCTAGACAAGGGGTCACAATTCGAATATGTATAGGAACCAATGAACAGGTTAAGGGTTTCAACTTTAAACCTACAAGATTATTTTTTATTTCCACTAAGAAATGTGCTCCCTTCCACTTTTCTTAACTTACTAGCCTTCTCAGAATATCTATTTTCTCATTTCTGACTGTGGCACAGATATGTAGACGTGCTTTTCACTTGAGAAATATAAGCAATGCTTATTTTGTTTAATAGAACCTGCTTAGAAAAATATTTTTGGTCATTGCAAATTAAAGTGG